CGGTCATCGTAGTTGAACATCATGCACTAGGTTGCAAGAAAGAGCTGTAATTGTCAGGCAGTAACACGTTGCAGTTGAAGAAGACGTTGAACCGTGTTGGAAACCAATTCAGGGAGCAGATTCGTGGAAGCTTTCCAGACTGGAATAAACATAGCCCGCTGAGAGGCGGCTTCAGTTTTCGTTAAGGTACAATTTGGCTTCACGCGACAGAGACAAGCGACCGAGGCAGGCGACATAGTTACGAGACCGAGACTGGTCGCTTCCTGTCTGCTCTCTGTACAATCGTATGAAGTACAATTACGAGCGCGAGACAAAGACAGGCGACAGAGACAAATCACAGGAGACCGCTCTCGGTCCAGTAGTGTCTCGCGACGGGCTCAGGCAGCACGTCAGTACGTAACCAAACTGCTTATGATTCAATCTGAAATAACTCCTGAAATTATCTTCTTCTAATGATAAATGATTCTTTATTAACAGACAGAAAGATCCTTCTTCACGTCTGGTTTTGAATATTGAACTCATAGGTTTTCTTTGTTTCTTTCGCAACAAATAACACAGCAACACATCATCTTCTTCTTATTCTTCGAGTAACCTTTTTAGAAGCATTTTTGTACTCATTTTTCACAGAATATGTGCACGTATGTCTCAACAAAACAAAGAAAACAAACACTTTGCCGCATGTCTCGGTCGTCACCTCAAAAGTGTGTGGCGACAAGCTGCGATGTGTCCGTCTCCCGTCTCTGTCGCCTGCCTCGGTCGCTTGTCTCTGTCGCGTGCAGCCAAATTGTACCTTTACACCGTCGCGTAGTTGTGGTTACATTATCCAGCATTGTAGTGTGGGGTCAGTTCCTTGTTGCCGTGCAGCGTCGGAGACAGTATTTTGTTTTACAACGCACAGTGCTGAATATGACATGTGACTTTTTCGTACACAAGACCGAAGCCGTCCATCTACCTCTTTGTCTCTCTCTTAAGATTCATATTAATGTTATCCTTTCAGCTGTTTCTCAGTCTTCGCGGTAGACTTTTCCCATTGTGATTCACCATCAGGATTCTGCATGAATTTTACAGTGGCAAACATGCACAGCCCTTGTAAGGCTTCTGTGTTCAGAATGCCGACGGGAAGAGGTGATCTGTTTGAATAATTGTTCATTTATTTAGTCTGTTCGATCGAAAGAATGTCTTGATAACGTAGGTTTTAAGCATTTCTCAATTCTTTTGTTCACGTGTCGCGTGTCTTTATCCGAAGAAGGTGGCGATCATGTAATTTCTTGAAGTGTGAAAAACCAAAATTCTGGAAAGCCGACAAAACCCGAGTTATCCAATCCTTAGCGAGATATTTATTCATCCAGGGTTATCCTTAAACAAGTCGTCGTATTTCTTTCTTCCTGATGAAGGAAGCAATTAGAGACATCGCTTACGATTTTCCTCAGGCTAATATATGACTCGAAATTGAGACGTGAATTTAGAGGTAGAGATATCTGCGTACAGTCAGTTACAAGAAGACAAGGTAACTGACGAGCTTGAACACTATCATGGCTTATCAGGAACACTCTTTTATATATTCATACTGCAAACTGTATTCGACTACATACGAGGTGCGATCGAAAGGTTTCCAGACTGCGCGTATAAAAACCCGTACACTTATCTCAGGTATTAAATTCATCCATCACCCTCGACGTAGTTCCCCTGGGAGTGAACACAACGATTCCAGCGCCGCTGCCAAGCCTGGAAGCATCCCTGGAAATCTTTCTTTGTCAGCCTGTCAAGCACCATCTGCGATTCTGCCTGAATCTCTTCTATCGTCTCAAATCTCCTTCCCTTTAGCTGAATTTTCATCTTTGGGAAGAGGAAGAAGTCACACGGAGCTTAGAAAGGAAGCTGGGGTCGGTTCTTGCAAGATCTTTCAGCTCCTGACAAACGAGAAGTCAAGGCGATTCTGCTTCTGGTCCTCAGACAGGAACCTTGGCACAAACTTGGCTGCGATGCGTCGCATGTGGAGTTCTTCCTTTAGAATCAGCTGACAGGTCCCATAGCCTATCCCAACAATGTCGCACAAGTCGTTGATGGTACGACGTCGATCTTCGTAACAGTTTCGGGCGTTGTGCTCGAAGATGGTCGTCCAGAACGCTCGTCATCATCGACAGAGGTTCGGCCATTTTTAAAACGTGAATGCCACACAAAAGTTTGTGCACGACCCATTGCGGACTCCCCAAATGCTTGCTTTAGCATTTCACAGGTTTCCGTAGCCGTTTTGGCGAGTCTTTGGCAAAATTTGATGCACACGCCATTCCGAAAGCGCAGGAGGGTCGGTGTAATGCACTACCAAAACGCCCGTAACTAAGAAACAAATGCTAATTCGATGATGCCGGCTGGCACACTGATTCACTATGAATGTAGGCCGCACCCCCTAGCGGCAGAAGCTCGTACTACATCCGGTTCGCCCTCTATTGACACAGTCTTTAAACTTTCCGATCGCACCTCGTATAATCTGAATACATTTGAAACTGCTGATAAATGAACGAGATTTAGGTGACGCACGAGAGGTGGAGTTATCGACAGTTTTAGTTGACGAACGAGTCGTAATGTTCCAAACTGTATATGGAAGAAGACACGATTATGACGCACTTCGATAAGTTATATATTTTATATTGCCTATAAATATCCCTCAACTTGCAGTGCAGTTGAATGGCTTAGGTTGTGACATTTCGTTTAAATGTTGCTTAGGGCTTTAAAGCTGATAACCAGTCAATAAAAATAACTGCATCGACTGAATTTGAACGTAAAGCAGGAAAGAAGATACACGAGATTCTAAAATAGATGAGTAATATCGCAAACATGTTCATAACATTACAAGCATCCATAAGTCAGTCAGATGACAATAGAACGTGAAATAAGTCATAATAATACAATATGTATTATACGTGTTACAATTCGTAATATTATTAATATTTAATATAGTATAAACTATCAGTGTTCTAGCGGTTAGAACGCTGGCCTTGTAATACTGGGGTCTCGGGTTCGATTCCCGGCGGTGCCCGAATTTATAACTTGTGTTGGGCAAGGCCGTGGTCTAGGCAACACGGAGTTTTCCTCCGTGGCATCCCAACAATTACTCCATTCACACACAGAAGAAGGCAATGGCAAACCACTTCTGGATCATCTGCCAAGAACGTATATGAACAGGTCCCAGTCCGAGAAAAGGATGGAAGGATCCTGTTCATATGGACCTGTCGTCAGACAGAACACTAAATAAATAAATAAAACTATCAGTAATGAGGAACTTAAAATATGTACTACTAACGAAATTGTGTTATGACTAACAAATCATGGAAAATAGGTTGAGCGTCGGGTACAGCTCACATGTGGAAGATGACAGATGAATACAAAATACATTTCAATCGAAAATGTTGAAAGGAGTGGATACTTTCGAGGCATGGGCGAAGAGGAGAGGATAATATTAAAATGTACGTTGAAGTAATGTGGTGCGAGGGTGTGAAATGGATTCACAGGGTGCAGTGGTGATTTATTTAACACGACAACGAGTTCTCAGTATACGTGAGGGATAACAGACTCCTTAAATCTGAACAAGGAAATTGCTCCGCGCTGAAGAATGAGGATTCTAGTAAGGATTTTAATTTGTTTCGCGTTTCATTCCGAATTGGTACGGGGGAAGGACTGAGGAGGAGATCTAGAGAGGCGAGCAGAAAACAAATTGTCGAAACTCATTATCAGTTGCTGTCCACGAAGAGTAAGGCCAAGCAGGATTTCGCCTGAAGCCGTCAAGGCTTGTAGTCTTGCGTTCAGATTGAGAAGAAGAAAAATTGTGCGTTCGAAGTGTGAAGTTCTATTACGGCTGAAACAGACAGCTGCCACCTCTACTTCACGTGGAATTTATGCGACCGAAAAGTGTTCGTCACTCTCTTGTCGTCCAGATTGTCAGATGAACCGTGACATTAAACTGGGATTTCTTGCCTTGAAAATAGAAGATGCGATTCACATCGTAAGAAGAGAGATTCTGCAGACAAGCAGGTCAGGGCACAGATTGGATTTAACTGGCCCAGCCTAGGGACAAATTGCGGGATGTTTTGAAAGTATTAGAGATACTTCGGTTTTCATTATGAGCAGCATGGCGATTATCAGCTTGTCCAGCAGTGTTTTCGGGCCGCTGCAGGGGCGTCAGAAGACTTCCTCTCTGTCTGTGCAGAAAAGGTAAATTTAATCATCTTTCTGATGAAGATTTAGTGTCTTTATGAGGGTTTTGGCGACAGTGCCGAACGTGAAGATGACGCTGCTCCAGAACCAAACATCATCTGCTTCGGGCTTTGGAACTGATAAAATTACTACAAATTCCGTCATAATTTGTCTGGTAGACTGCCGAGTGCATTTGGTCCATCACTTACTTGCTGTGTTAAATCTGAACAAACATTTGTTGTTTGTTATAAGAGGTACCACTTCAGCAGTACTAGCTTAAGGTACAATTTGGCTGCATGCGACAGAGACAAGCGACCGAGGCAGGCGACAGAGTTACGAGACCGAGACTGGTCGCTTCCTGTCTGCTCTCTGTACAATCGTATGAAGTACAATTACGAGCGCGAGACAAAGACAGGCGACAGAGACAAAGCACAGGAGACCGCTCTCGGACCAGTAGTGTCTCGCGACGGGCT